TTTTGACTCCTGGGACTCTTGTCTGCACTGAGGGCACTGTAAGGCTTTGGTCTTCTCAATACCCAGGATGTTAAACTTGGACCGGAATCTCTCACAGGGCCCCTTTTCCACAACAGTAACTACATTCAGTAATATACCAAGTTTCACTCTGGCTAGGTGGTTCAGTTGAAGTGTTGTCCCATTCACCAAAAGGTTGTGGGTTTGATGCCCAGTTGGGGTGCATGTGGGAGGCAACTGACTGATGTCTGCCCCCCTCTCCCTAAAGCCAACAAACATATCCTAGGATGAGGATTTAAAAAAAAAATACTGGATTTCTTCCCTTTTCTGTCCACCCTGTCCCTTTCTGTTCTCTAGAATCATTTTCTAGAATAAATTACCTGCACACAAGCCCTCACCTCAGGTTCTGCTCTCTGGAGCGTACAGGCTTAGATAGACAGGATAGGGTGGAGTTCATCTGAACCAGGATTTGGTTGTGAAGCTACCTGTGTAAAAATGTAGTTTATTCACGTGCCACTTTTTACTTAAAATAATCACAGTGAGTTTGTTTCAATATATTATGCAGTAACAAGATTAGGTTGGAGGTCAGCTTAAAAGTCTAAACCAGCGATTTTCAACCTTTTTCATCTCACAGCACAAATAAACCAATTACTAAAATTCTGCAACATGCCAAAAAATATTTTTTGCTGATATGACAAAAATAGGTGTTTTTTATTCATTCACACTAATGGTTACTGTCATTTAAAAAAACGTGACAACCTAAGGGAAAAGAGGTCAGTGCCCCTGAATAGTAAGGTATTGCATATTTTAAAAATTCTTGCTGCACACTGTTGAAAATTGCTGGTCTAAACTATCAGATTACACGCCAAACCCATCAGGATGTTCGATTTTTCTAAGGTATGAATTAGTCAAAGGTTATTTTAATGATTCCATCTTATAAGAAAACTGGGTGATCATTAAAAAGCTACTATATTCTATGGCTTTTCGTCTTATTACCCTTTCCAAGAACCTATCTAGCTCAAGCTCCAAGGTGGTGTTTCATAGGGAGCTCTTGTGAAAGTACTTAAAACATGTTCATTTGGATTGTTTGTGGGTCGCAGTTCCAGTTTTTAACAAATTATATTTTCTTTTCCCCAAATGTTCATTTATGCAACCAATGATGACAAAAACAAAACCCCCACAAACATTGTCACCTAGAGATAATTTATTGTTTTACCATGACCCAGGAGAGAAATAACATAGTTTATTACAAATCCCCATAATTTCCTTTCCCAACTTCACTACACTAATTTGTCAGATACCACCAGCCTCCTAAAATGGACCATCGACTACAAATGTGTATATATTTTACTTTGCTGCCATTGCTCATGATTACAACTTCAGTAAATTAAGGTCTAAAATTATTTTCAGTGGAATTCCTTAACTTAAAAACAAAAAAACCTTTCTTCTAAGATTCCATTATTTACTGAAAGAAGTCTTTCTAGAAATGTTAATGAGGATTTTAAAGTAACAAATTCACTTTAAAAATAATTTATTGAAAATCTACCAAGCATCTGGACTCTTCAAAGATTAGGCCGGGTTTTAACAATAGCTTAATTCTGCAGGTATATAAAAACAGGTGTCTTCTTTTTGCCTAATTTATTCTAAACTGAAAAACCAAGAATTGACAAGACAGGAGAGGTTTGTTCCACCCAAGACAGTGCTTGTTCTTGTTTTAAACAAGACGATGTCTGACTTAGCTCTCTATATAGATTTAGACTTACCATTTTGAGCTGGTTTTAATAATCTATATTTAACTAAAAGTTAATAAAAATACATGTTCATTTTAAAATAATTGATTTTGCTTGCATATCCCACCCCTTACCCCTAAACTCATATATTTTTTAGAACAAGATTTTTCTGCATACTCATTATCCACTTCTCCCTACCCCACCCCCCTCATTCGTCTTCCTGTAAGAACCCCTGCTACTTGCAGAAGCATCTCTAAGTCTAACATGCTTTGTTCTTCCTGGAGCAGACTAAAACCTTAAACTGTTAACTAGCTGAGGTGAGGGGGAAGGCAAGCAAACACTGACCTCAACACATTTCCCACAGTCCTCTTTTCTCCTTCCTCCAGGCTGCCTCATCACTCTTCCCTAGCTGGGAGTGCAGGGCTGTGACAACCCTTCTCCCCACTCTCCTGCCCAGCACACATGACCTTATCAGGAGACTGAAGGATAGCAGCTGCCCAGTTCCTTCTCTGGACCAAAGGAATTTAAAACCCATACCTGAAACTGGAATTAAAGCCAAGTTTCAAAACCACCTTTCACTCACTCACAGATCTTATTCTAAGTATCTTAAAACATTTATCCTCACTGCTAAATGAGTGCTGAGGGAGGAGAAAATATAATTTTAAGACCAATTAACTTTGCTGATTACTGTGTAATTTGAAGCGAGATATGATTTAGTCAATAGACATGAGAATCTTAAGAGATTTTAAAAATTTGCTAAAATAACAACAGACCATTGTTTAGAAGTCAACTTAATGCCCACTCTTTACCTTCCACTGTTTCAGGAGAAAAAAAAACCCATGAGGTTGGCTGTGTCCACCATTAAATAGAACCAGACAATATGAAACTAAGTTCTTATGTTAAGACAGTCTGTATTATGAGATGTCCAAAGTACTTCCCAAACTTTCGTTTGACCTGCAGAACTGGAGATGGCTTATCTCCCTAAAACTTCAAGTTTGTTTTACGAAGTTTTGAAAACAGGTAATTTTCAGATATAATAAAAAATTAACTTGAATAGCAAAATAACTACTTTTAAACGTAATGTGTCCATTCTAAAAATGAAACCTAAATCTATATTAGGAAAACTTTTCAAATAATGCTTTTTATTAATTTCTCCAGTAGTAGTTGAAATAAAAAGTCTACTCTACCTTTTATGAAAAGATCTATTTATACCACTTAATTTCCTTTTTTTCTGATTCTACGTTTCACTTTGCAATTTGTAGATCCTTCATTTTGTTCACCAGGTGGGGAACCCCAGCCCCCTATTTTTGAGAAGTTGCTCACAGTGGAACACACAAAAATATGGCTCCTCCATCAGGTATGGCTGTCGCTGTTTGACTACATTTGAAGTTACTTCAATTCACACCTTACATGAGGATGGTAGGATGAACCTGGTTAGTTTTAGGTGAGTACATCAGCATGACCAGACTCTGGAATAAAAGATAATCAAATCTAGAATAAAAATTAGAAAAAAATTATTTCAACAGCTATGAACTGTCACAAGACCACTCTCCTAATAACCATAAACCAGGGAAGAGTGGGAGCACGGAAGGCATATAGCACAGCCAACAGGAACACCGCAAAATGCTTATCAGAAAAACTTCCTGCAATGCCACAAACTGTAGGCATCTATGTATTTTCCAGGAAAGAGCCCATCTTTGTGTTTTCCTATCCCAAATTTTCTAAGCATAAACACTTAAGAATTACTGGGGGAAGGACTACAGTTTTTAGAATCCAATCAACTTAAGTGGTCCCACTGACCTTTCCAGTACTCTTCCTACTCTCAATTCATGGAGAAGACCTTCTTACTCCTTCTGACAAGCTCAGACAACCCATTCTCTTTGCATAAAATGGTGCCCTGGCAGCTAAGAGGTCAACATCCTGGTCTGAAAACTCCCAGGAAGCTGCAGATGTTTAGAGGAATTATTCCATTTTAGTGCCCTATTAACCTGTCTCTCTTAAGCCATCTACTAACCTTCTCTTCTGATTTGATAAGCACCAAACTATGAGGTTTTTTGCTCATATTCCCCCTCCTCAGTTCTGTGAACTATTTTTTGTTGTTGTTTATAATCACATCAAATTCTTCACTACTCACTCCAAAACTTTGCTCTTTTAAGTGATGTGTTCTGTCAAATAGATTAAAATAAAATACATTATGTGTTTACAGAGAGTATACAGAATAGCAACAAGAGCCAGAGGTACAAAACACAGACACTGACATTAAGGTCATACAAAATATATATAGAAGTACCCAACACTGACAATTTTTGTAAAAAGTTGTACATTTTGCGATTTCCCCACATTTTTTTCTTCTGTGGATCCTCTGGAGTTGACTGAGTGTCCTTTGCAGTTTCTGAAATTACCATTGGAACATACTGGCGGAATTCACTTTCTGTCCAAAGCAAACAAGTGCTGTACATGAGAGGTTTCCTCACATATATTAATAAAGTTTATTTACAGTGTAAGCTTTCTGATACTAAGGGCTGAGATGTGATTAAAGGCTTTGCCACATTATCACATTTAAGAGGTTCCCTTCTGGAATGAATTCTCTGATGTACATACCATGTGCATTGTCTCACATAACAAAGATATTGACCTCTGTACATATTTAGCATAGTTTCACTTTTACACCTTTAATAAAATACTAAGTGCCTTACATATTAAGATGCCTCAATAGATCTGTTCTCAGGCCTTTTTGCCTTGCCTGCCAGGCCAAAGTAGAAACAAATATCCCACAGCTTGAAGAACTTTATCTCTCTTCTGGCAAGGTTAAGGTATCGTTTTAAAAAGACCTTCAAAAATTTCCATTAGGTCAACTAACATGCTACTGGTTAACTATAAACTGTTAACAAACTTTAGCCAGTCAAGAACTTTCTGAATGACTATCCTGAGCACTAATTAGATGTTGTAAGCCTTTCTGACTATGATCCAATTATACTTTGCATTGAGCAGCTGATAAAAGCAATATAAATGGTTTAAATCAACATCTGAAGTCTGGTTTTTTTCAGAAAACATATCTTCAAGTAGCTGCTTCAAGGAGTGCACCTACTGAAGATCTGAAGCAACTGCAGTGGCTATCCCATACAGTGTGATGTCCCAGGAAAATGAGAAATAATGTGGGGGCACAGGTTATATTTAACTTTCATTAAAAAAAAAAAAAAAAAAAGGCTGAATTATGTCAACATGTAGCTCTGGCAAAAAAAAAAAAAAAAAAAAAAAAAAAAAAAAAGCCAATGTGAAACCAACCAAAGTTCCTCCCCTCTTAAAAACAGTCAGTGCTTTGATCAGTGCCTGAAGTTAAAGCAGCTCACTGCTTTCAGCTGCTTCCCAGCAGTAAGTCTTTTCTCAAAAGCACCAGCAGTTTTCGCAACCCTCACTGTGGCTCACTCTGAAGAAAATCCTAAAAGCATTTCTTCCACCTTCACTTTACTTTAAAACGTTAGGTATACTCTTCTGGAGTATATTTTCTACTTTTCTTTTATCGAATGGATAGAAATATTCTAGTCACCAGCTGACTTCTTTGAAGTTTCCCCAGGAAACAGATGAAACTGCTTAGAAACTATAGGGAAACTATGGTTGGTCCAAGTAAGAGGCCAAAGAATGACTGCTGTGCAGAGTTTTAGTACGGTCTGGGGCTGAGGCCACAGCTACCCCCACCTCACTGGCTCCCCATAAAGACATGCTGTCTCATGGGTCTGAGTTGTTGGTTAGCAAACAATGATGAGTTTTAGCTGTTTTTTGATGGACAATTTCAGTTCCTATGTGGGGATCTTCTGTTATGGGGATAGTCTTCAGATGTGTTCTAATTCTATGTGTCTAAGTTCCTGCAGGGCCATCCACAATCATTTGCATGCTCTCATGAGCAGAGTCATCTCTACCCAAATCCCTTGTGACTACTTATGTAGCCCCTCATACGTGGGTCTCTTGTATGTGTATTTGAAAATTCTGTTATTAGCTTCCAGACAGCCAAATGCATCCTCTTGCACGGATGATAAAAATGATCCAAGTTTTATAACCTCACCTCAGTCTTTAGTGATGAGGAGAAAAGGCATTATGCAGTATGACTTTGATAGAACCAACCACATCTTAGCAAGTTGGTGAACTTCTCAGAGCACCTAACATGTTTAGTAATGGCCAGCTAACATATGCTTTTGTGAAGCTTCTGGAAAGTGTGGGGAAAAAATGCTCCCTACGTTTTCCTTTTTCTGAAAAGCAACAAAATTTACATTGTCTGAACTGTATCATTTCAAGTTACAAATGATTCACAACTTGTTCAAATCATCACATTGTCCAGTAGCTGACTGAAGAAAATTCTGGTTAATATCTTTGTATAGAAAAATGTCAAAAAATGGCCTTAGTATGTTTTTGTATTTTTCTTAAGATGACGACAGTGGAGTCCTTTCTGACATTCCATGGTATTTACTCACTGATCCATGTTTAGAAAGGGTCTATGCAGGTGACTGGTGCCTTTCTTTTATAAGTAGGACAAGAATAGCATAAGACCCTGGAGCTTTAGCATACCTCAGGCTCTGGATGTCCTCTTCGAAAGTTGGGCCAGGCTATCATATATCAGGTGCTCATGATTCACAGGGCTTTAGAAGTGCAAAAGTCCTGTTAGAAGTCAGGCATAATGAGTGCCTCTTATGTGTTTAGCACTGTGTCAAGTGCTGTCAGGGATACAAATATATCCTTTGTCAATCAAAGCATCTCTTTTGGTGGGTAATGAAAACTTCAATACATGAAACAGTGAAGGATTAAAAGACAGTATATAATCAAGTGCTACCATGTAGAGAAATGGCATTTCAGAGTACAACTAGTGCTTTAGGGATTTCTTCCAGAAGGGAGAGAAATGTTTTGAATCATTGTTGCCATTTCAGTAGAATTTATCTCAGCGATGAGGATAAAACCATCTACATTTGTGGCAGTCCTTTGGAACTACAGACTGGTGCACATACCCTCTCTTTCAGGAAGAGATAGAAATCTTTGGTTTGATACTGATCAGCACAGTCCTAGATTTCTATAGCTTTGGTAGGCTACCAGTGATCATATATATAACTTAACGTATATATAACTAGTTTGAGCAGCATGTCCCAATGTAGTCTTTGTTTTAATTGTCTCTTTTTTAAGAAATAAGGTACAGCGAGATATTGGCCAACCAGGGCTTGTTTGCAGCAGCAGCTTTTAACCACAGTATCATTTTTACAAAGCCAATTTCAATCTTTCAATTCTATATCGTGGTTGCTGAGAGTAAAATAGAGCCTCAAAGGTATCCTCATTACTGAAAAGCTTGACATTTTACTGTGTGTGCTTTTCTCTCTTATGGAAATATCATGTGGCTTATCCATATGACTAGCTTTTCTCTACAGGGGCTGTATGGAAGAATATGCCTACAGACTATGCAAAGGCAGAACACTCCTAACTATAAGGATCCTTAAGTGTGATTTTTAAAAAAATCTGTTGAGGATGTCTTTTCCCTTCCATGAGCACACATCTCTGAAATAACTTTAGAAACAAAAGGGGGAAATGGCTTGTTGACAAATTCTCACTTTACACACAACTTTTCAGGAATGCTCCAAACGCATCAAGGGAGGCTGGGCTGTACTCAGAGGCTCGCTCTCTGGTATGGATTCTATGATGCAGAGTGAGGGTAGAGCTCCGGGTAAAGGCCTTGCCGCACTTAGTGCACTTATAGGGCTTTTCTCTGGTGTGAATTCGCCGATGCAAAATAAGGTATGAGTTTCGGTTGAAAGCTTTTCCACATTCACTACATTCATAGGGTTTCTCCCCTGTGTGAATTCTCTGATGTTTTGTAAGGTCTGAGCTCTGGCTGAAGGCTTTCCCACACTCATTACATTCATAAGGTTTCTCTCCAGAGTGAATTCGCTGATGCAGAATGAGATTTGAACTATGACTGAAGGCTTTGCCACACTCATTACATTCATGAGGTTTCTCTCCCGTGTGGATTCTCTGATGCAAGACAAGGTTTGAGTTCAGACTGAAGGCTTTCCCACACTCACTACATTCATAGGGCTTTTCTCCAGTGTGGATGATTTTATGGCGAATAAGGCTTGAACTCCTTGTGAAGCATTTACCACATTCATCACATCTATGAGACTTCGTTCCTGTTGGAACTTCTTCAGGGGTGTTAAAGTTTGAACTCAGACTGAAGCTTCTTCCCAATCCTTTACCCTTCTCCCTGGGACCCCTCTCTCCTGTGGTTGGTTTTTTTTCCTTGACCATAGCTGACCCTGAATCTTTCTTTTCTTTTCCAGTTTTCTCCTCAAGATTCCTCTGCTGCCTTTCTGTTGTTCTGCCCTGCTGTTCACGCTTTTCTCCAAAATCTTTCTGGGTTCTTCCTCTTGTTTCCCCACGTGATGCTGAGTCTTCTGCGATTTCAGCCTTGGAGGTTGACTGCTCATTCTCATTACTGCTTTCACAACCTGACACAATAAATAGAAAATACAAATAGCACCTTTTTCTTTTGAGTCTATAGGTTAATCAAGTGGCATTGTTTTCTAGGAAGTTCCTACATGCCTGCAAAATGACCTCACAATATTAATCAAAGGTAAAAAGGGAGAAAAATAAGATTAAAAAAAAAGAGTAAACAGGGAATGGAGTTGGGAAACGAGAGGGCAGGAAGAGTGTAAAGGACAATAGAGGAATGTGCAGAGAGGACAGGAATGAACTGACCTACTGGGGAATGGGTAGAGAGAACAGAAACAGTTAAGGAGGAAAGGGATGAGGAATTAAGGAACATAAGAGGTAACAATTCAGTTCTATTATTTGGTTACTTGATTATTAACTTGAAGAAACAAATATACATAAAAAAAAGAAATCATGTTCTGTTTCTTATATATGCATTTGAACTTAAAAAGAGAATGGAAGATCTTCCCTAGAAAATGGTAAGTGGTATTAGCAGAAATAAAGGAATATCATTAGTAAAGGAAAGGCAAAAATGCCTCCATTCTGTGAAATTTTTTATCAACAATGAGATGGTTAATGGGCAAAACAAGGAGCTCTGAACTTGGCAGGTTATATGGACCTTCAGAATAATTGCTCTCCACCAGGGAGAGCAACATAGAGCTGACAGTGATCAAGTAATAGAAATGAGAGTGAAGAAGTTGGTTGGGGCATTAGTAAACATAATTAAAACCTTTACCCAAAGACAACTGAGAATAGAAAAGAAAATGAAAATAATTCCAGAGATGGCATATTAAAACACTGGAATGTTTTTATTGTAGACTGCTATATTCACTTTGTTTTAAGGTGAGATAAAAAATTGTTCAGTAAACATTTTTTATATATGTTCATATATGCCTAGGAAAACCCCCCAAATATCCCAACTCTATTCTTTATTTGGCCTTAAGAAACTTGCCCAAGAGGGTCCACAGTATCCCAGATGGGCCCTTGAATGCATGCAACTCCTGAGGGAGCTGGATAATATTTAACCCCTGACTTCAGTGATGAAATTGCCATAAATACTAAACCAACTGTAATGAAGAGATTGGTCTACTTCTGAATTCCAAGACAAGGTCCTTGACTACATGGACAGTTCCCAGATTGAACCCAATTTTTTAAAAAAAGTTATCTTGGAATAGGTAATACCCAGCTCATAAACATGGATCAATTCTTTGGCTTAATCTTCAACTAATCCAAAGAGTAACTATCAAGCAACCATAAATCCCAGTTATCCCTATGGTTCCAAGCAAAATTTGAGGTTTCTTTAGTAACATCCTTTCTTTATGAAATTCCCCTTCATTTATTCCCCCTCTGTACTCCCCAGGCAGAAGCCTCACTGTGGACTTTCGTGTGACAGCATTTATTTGAGAGCTCCTTTGCAGTACTGTTTCTCAGGAGATGAGACCTAGCAGAGACAAATGGGAATGTTTGTCAACTATGTCTTTGTCTTATCTGGTTGATGCTTCTTAGAACTTCTTTGTACCTACTATGCATCCAGAACCAAAGATCTTCAAAGATTACTATTAGGTTTGAAAATTGGGAATCCTAATTACAAGGGAGGTATAGGTGCAAGTTCATGGAATTATGCAAAGCTGTCATAGAGCAGTGCCCGCTGGGTGAAAGACAGAAAAAGCCCACAGAAGGATGCTTGTTTGGTATGTTTAGGAACATGGTCCCAGGTTAGGAGTAGAACCACTTGCCTCTCTACATTAGAAAATACAGATACTCCCCTAATAGAGGCACCTAATTGTAACCCACGGGGAAGAGAGCAGAATTCTCCCAGGGAACAGAGTAGTGGAAGAGATGAGGACTCAGAATACAAGAGTACTTCTGATTTCAAACAGTAAAAACTACCTATAGGTGATTTAAAAAAAAAAATCTGCCCTGCTGATGTGGCTCAGTGGATTGAGTGACTGCCTATAAACCAAAAGGTCACCAGTTCAGTTCCTGGTCATGGCACATGCCTGGGTTGTTGGCCATGTCCCCAGTTGGGGGGCATGTGAGAGGCAACTGATCAATGCACATCAGCGTTTCTCTCCATCTTTCGCCCTTCCTTTCTTTCTCTCTAAAAATAATAAGTAAATAAAATCTTTTTAAAAAAAAAATCCACTTGTAATCAGGGAGTCACAGTACCAGGCTTTTGGACATAAATGAACCAAATGTTCTCATTCTCTATTTCGTCTAAAGAAAGGGGCTCAGTAGTCTCTAAATCCTTGTCAACATTCAATTGAACACATCAGAGACCCACAGCTAACAAAAAGAGGCAAAACAATCTTATCAGACAATGATCCTGCATCAGTCTTACCCTGGGAAAACACGTTCCCATAATTCTCCTGCCTGTTGTCCCTATTGAGATTCCTCCGAGCCAGGTTCTGACATCCCCATTCCTCCAGGATAAGGGACACGGCCATGTCCTCAATCTTCACCATTGCCTGAAATAATATGAGATCCCCACACTCAGTTCCTCGAAAGCTCAGGGACAAACCCATTGCCCAAACCTGGAGTTAGGGATAGAGGCGATTACAAACCTACAGGGTGTTGGGAAAGAAGAGGTAACCATGCCAGGCTCTGGATTGAGGGGTGGGTGGAGTTACTCTGTGGGCAGGGACATCAAGAGCTGAGTGTCCTGAGTGAAGACTGTTAAAAGACCTCCAGGAAGAGAGGCAGATATGAGGGACTCAATAGGGCAGAGGGACCCACCGCTCACCTGGGAATCTGCTGTGAATAGTGCAGATGCCATTGCCTGGTCTCTGGGATTCTCCTCATGATGAGGGGCAGGAACGTGGGTGGCAGGAAGAGCTGAGGGGGAAGAAAGGAGTGTGAGTCAAACCAGCTCTGCTCTTGGCCTCCCCTCTAAGAAGGGCCCAGGGGAATTCTTTTTTCTGCATCAGAATGTTTAATGTTCAACTACAAAATAGGTGACTAGAGAGAATTAAAGAAAAAGCATGACCTCTGCTTCCCAAAATTTCTCTTCTTAGTCAGGACAAGGAGTCTTTATAAAAGGATCTATAAAATTATTTGGTCTAACCGCTCTGTTTTAAAGAATAGGTAACTGAGGTGCTGAAGGATAAGTACCTTGTCTAAAGTCATACAGTTAAGAATAGCAGTCAGATCTAGAACCCAGGTTCCTACTCTCAGCTACAAAAGTAGGTAATTCAGCCCAAGATTCAAGCCTGGCTCAAAAATGTCATTTTCTCCAATCCAAGGAACAAGTAACAGGACATCAGAATCCCATTTAGGCCCTGGCCAGGTAGCTCAGTTGGTTAGAACATTGTCCCAATATGCCAAGGTTGTAGGTTCAATCCCTGTTCAGGGCACATACAAGACTCAAGCAGTGAATGCATAAATAAGTGGAACAAATATTGATGTCTCTCTCTCCCCTACTTTCTCTAAAATCAATACATACAAATTTTTTAAAAAACCCATTTGTAAAAAAATGCAACATAGTTTTAAAAATCTTTAGTAGTCATATCTGGAAACAAAGGTAGGAAGGGGGTCTTCCTAATTCTGGGTAAGTTTTGCCACTTTCTGTCCCTCTACTTTTCTCCCTTTCTCTGTGTATCCAGTTTTTGATGAAATGTATATACATGGTCCAAATGTTAATGAGACATTTATAAGTGTATAAAAGTATATGACACTCATCTAATAAAAGATATCTATATTGCATAACCACACTAACTGCAATAGGAAACAACAATTAGAAAAATTTAAACTGCAAAACTAAAATCCTCCCTTGCCAAGTAATATTAGAGAAATGAATGTGAAACTGAATTACTCAACTTGTAACTATTTCAGACAGTACAATAATAAGATAAATCAAATGTATGAAAAGATTAAGTACCTAGGACTTTAACTTTCTACTTGTTAGGAAACACTCTAGAAGATGTATAACACAAAGAGGAAATGAGAATAAATGCATATGCCTCAATTTGTTAAAGCACTATTTGCTAAGTTAACAACTGTATATACCAGGGTCTCTAAAATTGTTATTTTGATAACCCGAAGATCTAACCTGGAACTTAAAACCATGAACACTCTCTGTAATTTCCCGACTTTAACTCTTGTGGAGTGTGGAGACCTTATATACCTTGGAAGGGCATAACTGGGGCTGTGTGGACAGTGGTGTGTTAAATATCACAGTGTACTGATCTATATGGATTTCTCCAGCATATGAATGCTAGCTATGCTCCAGAATGCATAGAAGATAATGCTTCCTTAAGCTCTAATAATTAAACTGATTTTTATTTATATGACCCTGAAATAATGCTTTCCTCATGTCCCTCCACCAAAAACAACATTTTCCCATCCTTTTGCACTGTTTGAAAATTTTGAAAGTAACCTGGAAAAAGAGTGATGGTATACAACATTTTTATATATTTTAAATGAAATAAACTTTAAAACTGACTCTCTATAAAGTCATTTATGATGTACTACAGTGTTTCAAAAATCCAGGCTGAAAGTATATTCTCTTCCCAGCACTTTCCTGTAAAAAGAAAAATCTATTTAGATATCCAGAATGCTAACAATTCAATAAACAATGTAATATCCATCCAAGTTCATTATGCACATTTCATGTACTTCCTTAATAATACGTTTAACTTCTGAGACTGGTCTGTAAATTATATTTCCCCTAATATTTAGCAATGACAATAATGTATAATGATAAAAACAAGCATCCTTCTTTATTACAGGCACTTAGCAACACAGAGAGGGCACACCCATCCTGAACAGTTTGCTTCTTCTCCCCACAACAAACCTTGCTTCTTACCCCGTGACTGTAAGAGACGGGGTTTCCGAGATGAATGCTTGAAATGGGACTGGGTGGCCTCATGATGAAGGTCAAAGCTTGAGGACTCCTGTATAGGATCCAGAGGCACCATCCCCCTTGCAAGCATCTCAGGTCCATGAACTTGACCTGGGACCTGAGAACAAACAGGTTGGGCTTGTGAATATGTAACTTTTTAATGAGGACTTTAAATAAACAGAAAAGAACAAAAGTATACCAGGATGCAGGGGAAAAAAGGCCAGAATACTTTTTAATTTCCAAACAAAGCAGGGAGAATAACCACTACAGACTACTAATAACTAGCTTATACTGGTAGTAGCTTATATATTAGTTATTTTATATATATAAACATTATGAGTCTTGTCCAGAAGGGATCCAGCCATGTAATATGAAAAACAGGTATTTACTGAAGAAGATACAAGATACAAGAAACACTGTACACAGGACAGTGATGCCTAAGTCCCCTTCAAAGCAGGCACCATGGGACCTCACAGTTCTCCCAATCGCCATCAGTTGCTCCATCCTATTTTCCTCAATCTCACTGATGGGTCTGAAATTTCTTTCCCTTCAAAGGTGATTTTAGTTTTGGGAAAAGCCAGAAGTCACAGGGCGCCAAATCTGGGCTATAGGGGGGCTGAGTCACCTGGGTGATTTGATGTTTTGCAAACAAACTGCACGAGATGGGATGCATGAGCGGTGAGGCTGCCAATCACCAGCTGCCCATAGCTGCGGCCTTCTGAATCACCCTAATGGTTTCCATGGAGTAATGTTCAAACCTAACACAAAATTTGATGCAGATTTGTTGATCTACTTGCTCAGTAACTTTGAATGTGATGGCCACCCAGTACATATGATCACTCAATGGCATCTACTGACTAGTACACAGAAGTCATCATTGTTCATGCATGTATATTCTTAGTCCACTTTCCTTGGCTGCCAGGTTACATCAATGTCGTGCAAACCATTCTCGTTATTAACAATGGCTGGACTTTTTCCAGACAGTCCTCGTATATGCATATATAACATACATGAACAGATATAGCTAATATTATATAAGTAGTAGCTTATATATTAATACTTATACTACTAATACTAGTCTAATACTAAGACTACTAATACTAGTTTTAAATCAGTAACTTTCTATTTGCTCCAGTTTCAAAGTCTGTGTGCTATTCACACATAAATTTCACCCCTCTCACCTGCTGTCCTGATAAATCAAGCTCCAAATCTTCCAGGAGGGTTACGGCCTCTTCCCCACTATCAGGACGGTATTCCTGTAGCCAGACTTGAAGCTCCTTGGGCAGGATGGAAAGGAACTGCTCCAACACCAGCAGCTCCAGGATCTGCTCCTTGGTGTTTATCTCTGGTCGTAGCCACTGATGACAAAGTTCCTTCAGTCGACTCAGAGCCTCTCGAGGCCCAAAAGTGTTCTGATAACAGAAGTGCCTGAAACGTTGGCGGAAGATCTCTGGGTCGGGAGGAGGAGTCTCCTGCAGGCTGGAATCCTGCCCCCACATGTGCTCTTCCTCATCTTCCTCTTCTACCTTCACTATTACGATACCATCCTTCTCCTGGGCAGCCTGTGGGGACAGACCAGTAGCTTCCCTTGATTCAGCAGTCATCATTCAGGGTCAGGGAACTGACTTGATCCAAATAGGGCCTGTGCTTTCCTTTGTGTCCTAGGAGATGTTTCTGATATCTGTTTCCGTACTATTCCTGAAATATTAAAAAAAGTTATAATTACCTTTATGAAAAGTGACCTATGCTGCCAACACTTATACAAAATTATATATCAAGGCACTAAGAATGCCTCTGAATAGTAAAGGGAAAAAATCCCCTCCAGAGCCACACTGTCATTTTATACATTAAAGTTTGCCTCTAATGGGCAAATTCCACCCTCAGCATGTTTGCCTGATTTTGAGCACCTTACCTTCAGGAGGACAGCAGGTTATGACAGCCTTTACAGTACTTAACCTGGTGAGAGCTGAATGTCAGCAGGGCACAGGCAAAGAGACTTTAAGCAGTACACAAACAATATTATTTCATCCTACGACCCTAGAGACAGGTACAAATGATAGCACCACTTTACAGGTAACATGACTGAAGCTTAGATAATTTAGGTAATTTGCTCAGCAGCAGATGGCTACCTACCCAGCGGAGTCAAAATTTATACCAAATATGAAGCCCTGGATTTGCTAATCTACCATCTAGCTATTTTTATTATTTTTATGGGTACTGTGGTCAGTCTAAAGGGAAGAGTAGTAGCTGCCTCTCCCTCTACGGAGGGCTGCCAAGGTGCCTTCATTCATGTGTTCACTTTTAGGTATTTGATGTTTTCTGATTTATCTGAGACCAGTTTGTGGAATAATGAATTATTTTATGTAGCTTAAAAGACACATACATGGAGAGGACTTCTGGTCAAGATGGCAGCACAGGCAAACATGGCCCACCTCTTCGCACAATCACATCAAAATTACAACTAAAATATAGAACAACCATCACTCAGAACCATCAAAAATCAAGTTGGATGGAAGTCCGACAACTATGGAATTAAAGAAACTACATCCATCCAGATTGGGAGGAGGGGCACAGGCACAGAACAGGCTGATCCCAAACCCACATGTGGTGGATAAAAATTTGGGAGGGATATATCGGGAGTGAGGAGTCTCACACCAAGGCCCCCAGCCCTGGGTTCCAGTGCCAGGAAGGTAAGTCCCCACAACTTCTGGCTGCAAATACCAGTGGGGATTGAGTCAGTGGAAGAAACTTCTGAAGCCCCAAGCAGTTCCTCTTAAAGAACCCACACACGGACTCACTTACTTAAGACTCATTCCCTCTGAGCTCCAGTACTGGGGTAGGAGCTTAAAAGGCACCAGTGGCATAATGGCAGAAACTGAAGTGTCTGGCATCAAGGAGAGCAGAGGCCATTGCCCCTTTTCTAAATCCTCCCCCTACAGAGCCAGAAAGCTGGTGTCATATCTGAGACTCCATCAACCTGGCTAACACTGTTCAACCTTCCCTTCACGATCCCCAGAGACTCTGCCCCATCCAGCTAATAGGCCCACCCAACATATGTATGGCTGGTATTGGCTCATGCTGCAAACCTTTCTAAAACCTCTCAAACAAGCAAAAGCTGGCCTCAGTGAGCCCAATAGCAGCAGCCAGCCTAGATTCACAGCTTGGCTTTGCCTGGGAATCTCCAAGCTCAGCACAAATACCAGCCATCTCAGATTGCTTTATAGCTCAGGCAGTGTGGCCCCAGGCAAAACAGAGGTAGGGGGCTGACTTTGGCCTGTACTACCTAGGAAACCGCAAGGCCAGTGCACCCAGTGGACAGCTACAGACCACTCTGGAGCACCACCACCCTGCTCCTGCACAGATGATCCTCCACAGAGGGCAGAGGTTGGTGATCAGTGGTCACAGCCAAGCCTTGCAGCTGATTGGCCTGGGTAAATCCCTCTCATTGATCTGCCAACAACCAAGGCTCAACTACAAGGGGAGGAGATACTCAGCCCACACAAAGGGTGCAACTCGAGTACCCAGCTTGGGTGATGGGGGAGGCTCTGCTGCTGGACCCTACAGGATACCTACTCCATTAGGCCACACTACCAAGGCACAGAGTCAAAGCAGCTCTCCCTAATACATAGAAACAAACACAAAGAGACTGCCAAAATGAGGAGACAAAGAAACAGGGCCCAAATGAAAAGAACAGATCAAAACTCCAGTAAAGGACTAAACAGAATGGAGATAAACAATCTATCTGATAAGAGTTCAAACCACTGGTTATAAGGATGCTCAAGGAACTTAGTGAGGACCTCAACAGCATAAAAAAGATCCAATCAGAAATTAAGGATACACTAATTGAAATAAAGAACAATTTACAGGGAAACAATAGTAGAGAGGATGAAGCTGAGAAATCAAACCAAATCAATGATATGGAACATAACGAGGCAAAACACAACCAATTCGAACAAGAAGAAAAAAGAATCCAAAACAATGAGGGTAGTGTAAGAAGCCTCTGGGACAACTTCAAGAGGTCCAATATTTGCATCATAGAGGTGTCAGAAGGGGAAGAGAAAGAGCAAGAAATTGGAAATCTATTTGAAAAAATAATGAAGGAAAACTTCCCTAATTTGGTGAAGTAAATAGACATGCAAGTTCAGGAAGCACAGAGAGTCCCAAACCAGATGGGATGCAGAGGCCCACTCCAAGACACATCATAATTAAAATGCCAAAGGGTAAAGACAAAGCAAGAATCTTAAAAGCAGCAAGAAAAAATATTAGTTACCTACAACAGAGTTCCCCTTAGACTGTCAGCTAATTTCTCTAAAGAAACTTTGCAGGCTAGATGGGATTGGCATGAAATATTTAAAGTCATGAAAAGCAGGGACCTACACCCAAAATTGCTCTACTTAGCAAAGCTTTCATGTAGAATCAAAGGGCATATAAGGAGCTTCTCAGAAAGAAAATACTAAAGTTCATTATCATCAAACCACTATTATATGAATGTTCAAGGGACTTATTGAAGAGAAAAAGATCAAAACTAGGAACAATAAAATGTCAAAAAATATAATATCAACAATTGAATATAAAAAACAAACTAAGGAAACAAGAACAGAGACAGAATCATTGATATGGAGAGTGTTTTGATGGTTGCCAGATGGGAGGGGGCCTTAGAGGAGGGGATTAAGAAGTACAAACAAGTAGTTACAGAATAGCCACAGGGAGGTAGAGTACAGCATAGGAAATGGAGTAGCCAAGGAACTTATATGCATGACCCATGGACACGAACAGCGGTGTGGGGGATTGTGTGAGGGAGTGGGGGGTGCTGGGTGGAGGGGGACAAAGGGGCAAAAATCGGAACAACCATTACAGCATAATCAATAAAATATAACTTAAAAAATTAATAAATAAAAGTTAAGGAGGTATTAAAAAAGGCGAGCATGGAGACTTGTGGAGTGGGTGAAGTGGGTGAAGGGGTCAAATGGTACAAACTTCTGTTTATAAATTAAGTCCTGGGGATGTAATATACAGCATGGAGACTTCAGTTACTAAGACTGTATTGCATATTTGAAAGTTGCTGAGAGCAGATCTTAAAAATCCTCAGCACAAGAAAAATTTTCTTTAACCATGGTGACAGATGTTAACTAGACTTACTGTGGTGGTCATTCCGCAATATATACAAATATTGAATCATTATGTTGTACATCTGAAACTAGTATGTTATATATCGATTGTATCTAAAAAAAGTGGCTTTAGGGATTCTTACAGAGAAACTACAATTACAGGAAATACTAATGACACAAACACTCATGAATAAGAATGGTAAACCTGAAGTTTCTATCTAGAGCAAGGTATTAGTCAGGTTAGGAGGTAAAATCCAAAGTCAATCTAAATCAAAAGAGGAGTCAAACAGTGAGAAAGTAGCTGCTTTAAAAAAAAAGGGTGCAAGGAAAGAACTATTGTAACAGATATACGCTGGGACATATATACTATTATGTAACTTTAACTGCCAAAAATGACTAATTATCCTTATTATCTACACATTTTAAAAACTTCAAAATATTTTCTCGTTTGTTTAAAAATCTCCCAGATGAGAAATTTTAGTGGGTCTTAAGCCTGTTAGTTGAGAATATTAAAAATCTTTTGATTAGTTTGTAAGAACAGGCGATTGACTTAAAGTCATGGAAAATGGAAAGGTGAACTTCAACAACAAAAATTTAGCAAGGTTGGTGGGCAAACTACTGAACAGAGTCGGTTGACAATGTGTTTCTCCCATCTGACTTGACAAATCTTTCTGAAGTTTCTTTTTCACCTTTACAACTATCAATATTAAGCATCAAATTCAAGTTGTAGAGACATTGCATCTAATTGCTGTATCACATGGAGTTAAGCCAACAGTTTTAAACTAGCAAAGCATTTTTAATTACATGGCTCTCACAAAAAAAAAATCATTAATTTTGGTGGCAAAGGGATAGTGTACATTTAAAGCAAAAAAATTACTTTTAAATAGCACAATATATTATTTTATTATACTAAATAGAACAGTACATGTATGTAATTTTTAGTTTTTAATTGATAGGAATGTGTGACCATAAAAGTTTGGAGATGACTTAGTTTGTGGATTTAATCACAAAGAGTATGATTTTAATCTGAGATCAAAGGATTGGTTTTCCATCCCTCCCTTTTTTTTTTTGTCTTAATGAAAACCAGAAATCCTTAAATGGGGCAATTAAGTCATTTCTACAATGACATTAAACTGGTAAAAAGTCCTATTGCAAACCATATTCTAGCCCTTCCTTTCGATTCCTTCAGACCTCTTCTGTACTCTGCCCTCCTTGCTGAGGTAAATATTTTTTCAACCTCAGAGCAGTTTTTCCAATAAAGTCCTTATAGCTACAATTATTCAATTTCCTAAACATTTCTGCATATCCATAATATGCAAGGTGTCCTGCTAGACTGAGGGGAATAAATAGATGAGAATCATGATTCCTGTTTTTACACAAATTACAGTACAAAGTGGAATGTGCCAACTGTTCTAAGGGGGTTTCAACAGGAGTGCTACAGAAGCCCTGAGAAGTAACTTAACTGATGTATTAACAAGGCAGCTTCTAGGAAGAGGTCCCTTGGATCTGGGGCATCAGAATAGTCAAGATCTCTACTGGAAGAGGCAGCAAGTGGGAAGTCCAGGAGATCATCCCTTTGACTAGCTTAAC